GGATTTCTCTGTGTAGCCCTGGCTGTCTTAGAACTCACTATGTAGACCAGGCTGGCCTTGAACTCACAGAGATCCTTCTGTCTGCTTCCCGAGTGCTGGGATCAAAGGTGCACTACCACTGCCTGCCATAACAAACTCTTATTCCCTCTGAGGTGAGCATTGCGTTTTAGTGTCACAAGCAGCAAGGACTCTAATTACTGAGTCATTTTCCCAGTCCCGGGACCACATCTTATTGCAAAAAATCATTTATGCTGACAGGCATAGTGGTACACACCTTTAATACCAACACTAAAGGCAGAAACAGGTGGCTGTCTATGAGCTCAGGTCAGCCTGGTTTTCATACTGAGTTTTAGGCTATCCAAGGCTACATAGTGAGACCTGTCTCACAAAACAACAAGAAATCATTTATGCTTCATGTGTGCATATATTTTATTAATATACATAATATAACCTGAATATAATTTTATAGTTTTTAAAGACAGGATCTTGCCAGGTCTAGTGACATCTGCCCATAATCCCAGCACTCAGAATGCTAGGGTAGGAAGATTGCTAGATCTTGAGGCCAGCCTGGGATAGACAGTGAGACTCAGTCTCAAAACAAAGAAATAGACAAGAGCAACCACAACAAAATCAAAAAACAAATCCTGGCCGGACGGTGGTGGCGCACGCCTTTAATCCCAGCACTTGGGAGGCAGAGGCAGGCGGATCTCTGTGAGTTTGAGGCCAGGCTGGACCGACAGCCTCCAAAACAATACAGAGAAACCCTGTCTTGTAAAAACCAAAATAAAAAAAAAATAAGCCAGGTGTGGTCTGTGTTACTCATCTCTAATCCCAACACTTGGGAGGCTGAAGCATCAATATTGCCAACAGCAAAGCCAGCCTGGGCTACACAGTGAGATCCAAGCCAGTTAGGGCTACATGGTAAGAGCTGCTCTCAAAAAACCCAACAGAGGGCTGGGGAGACAGCTCATCAGGTAAAGTGTGAGCTATGCAAGTATGACTGGAGTTTGAATCCCTAGGGCCCACAGAAACATAATGCCAGTAATCATGGTGACCCGCCTGTAATCCCTGTACACCGGAGACAGATGGACATTGGCTAGTTAGACTACCTGAATCAGCGAGCTCTGCATTCTACCAAGACCCTGCCTCAACATATAAAGTGGCAGCCAAACAAGGAAGCCAGCTGATGTTAGCTTCATGCCCCACAGAGACAAACACACACATAAGAACATGTGTACCTCTACCTCACCCCCACTGCTCAAAAAACAAACAACAGAAATACCAAGTTCTACTTGCTATAAAGGCAGGGTTCAAACTTTCCAGGTTTTGGAGAATTTAGGATTCCAGTCTTTCAGATTAGGGTTGTTTAAGCTCTAGTTATTAAATGACCATTTCCTGTCTACATAAGAAAGGCTCTGGGCCTGGAATTAGATATGAGCACCCCATCTGTAGGATGCACCCCTCCCACTCAGCTATGGTCGGTTTCTGGGCCTCACAGGGCCACCTACAGACCGTGTGCCAGCACCATGCCAACCTGTGGTGGCAGGCCTGAAGATGATGGAATGGCAAGCTGCATTCGGGGTGATCTCCTTCCTGGATGCTGACACCCGGGAACAGCCAGTGTTCAATCCGAGGAGCAAGCAAGGACCCTTGTAGCTGGGACTGAGTGCTATGTGAGGCAGTGCCTTGGCCCAAAGCATTCTTCTTGCCTACTCTGTCTTTTAAAACATTTTAGTTTTTATTTTGTGTGCATGTGAATATACTGTGGGTCGTGTGTAGAGGTCAATGACAATAGTGGGAGTCAGTTTACTCCTCCCACCATGTGGATCTTGGGGATCAAACTCAGGTCCTTATGCTTGGTAACATGTACCTATAGTCACAGATCCAACTTGCTGGCTCTATCTCTGGTTTTTGTGTGTGTGTGTGTTTGTTTGTTTATTTGTTTTTTTAAGTTTGGAGCAGGATCTTGCTATGTAGCCCAGACTGGCCTTGAACTCACAGCCTGGTACAATAAATGTATTTTTAAAGTCTGATCATTGGTGTTTCCCAGTGACTTAATGCTAGGGATTTGAAGGAGCTGGTAGGAAGAAGGGTCTGGTGAGATGGCTCAGCAGGTAAACTAGGTGCTTGCTGCTCAAGCTCAGAGACCTGAGTTCAATCCCCAGAGAGTACACAACGGTAGAAGGCAAGACCAACTCTACCAAGCTGTCCTTTGACTTTCATACGTGGATCATGGCACACGTCCCAAACCCACATATACAAACTGATGATGAATGTTTAAAAAAGAAGGAAAAATCTTTTTTCGAGATAGGGTTTCTCTGTGGCTTTGGAGGCTGTCCTGGAACTTGCTCTGTAGACCAGGCTGGTCTCTAAGTCACAGAGATCCGCCTGCCTCTGCATCCCGAGTGCTGGGATTAAAGGTGTGCGTCACCAACACCCAGCAAGAAGAAAATTTTTACACAGGAGAGGAAGACGGGACAGTGAGGTTGGAACTTTATTTCTGGTTCCTCCAAAAGCAATTTTATAGCAAGACGAGGTGCTGGAAAGCACTGGAAAGGAGCCCATGTGGCAACCCTGTCCAAGTGCCCCAGGAGCTGGGCTAATGGAGCAGTGCTGTCAGTGTGCCCACGGCTGTGGCTGCCCGGACACACCCTCTTCTGGGATGAGGTACTGCCCCTACCTCAGAGACTAACGTTTTCTGCCAAGGCTGTGCAGACAGTCATGCCTTCTCTCTGTCTCCTGTGTTCATCTAACACGGGTTCTGACACCCAGGGATGGGAATTCTGTGGCAGGCACCCATCTGTGTCATCTCTGAGGATGGTGGGGATCAGCTGTGGTCATTTGACAGCACAGTCAGCTCCTTGACTGCAGGAGAGGGCTGCCTGTGGCTGCCTGAAGCCTGTGGTCAGGGGTGTGACCTGTCCTTGTGGTCAGGTAGGAGGGAAGGGTTGCTTGGAAGGGGGCTGGGCTGAAGCCAGCCCAGCAAACATGAGGTTAGGAGTAGGCAAACGATATTCCCTGCATGGCCAGTGTGTGTGTGTGTGTGTGTGTGTGTGTGTGTGTGTGTGTGTGTGTGTGTGTGGCGCAACGTGTTCTCTTCTCTCTTTCCTCCCTGCTCTTCCTCACATGGAACCCCTGCACTAATCGCCGAATTCTGTGACAGACACGAAGATGAAGGCATCAGTGCCCAGTAGGAGTTTGGAGGGCCAGCGGGGTGTAGTAAGGGGGTGTCTGCGGGAGAGCTTTGTGGAGGTGACCTGCAACTTCAAGAATGGCTATTTTTAGGGAAAAGGCTGTCATGAGTGGTGAGCTCCGGAAATGAGCTCAGCGCTTACAGGAAGAAAGAGGCCTCAGTGCAGGAAGGGCAGATGTGGCCCAGCTGGAGTGGGGCAAGCAGGCAGTGAGGAGGCTGGCTAGCCCTCTGAGTTTCCTAGTTTTGATCCTTACCCTCACTGTGGGAGACCCTCACCAAAGAGCCCCTGAGCTGGTAGACAAGCTCCCCTTTAGTAGCTCAGAGAGGGGAGGAGGGCCATGGCAGACCAGCTAGTGAGGCAGAGCTATGCACTGCAGACACCACAGGAAAGGGGCTTCTGTTGCCCATAGACACCATCATGAGGTGTGTGTGTCTGTGTATGTGTGTCTGTGTGTGTGTGTGCGCGCGCATCTCCCAAGTCTATTAGGAAGGTTGTCAGGGAAGGCCCATGAGGCCACTGACTCATTCCTCCAATGCAGTCCGGGGGTACATGCTCACTCAGCACACTCTAGCTTATTTCAGTGCTAGAGATGGAGTCCTCCTTCCTGAAGCTGCTCTGTCTGCAGGACAATGTGGCCAGAGGCCTGCAGGGCAGGAGATGGATACGGTAGGCCCCTCCCTGAGGTTTTGGCAGTCTGAAGGGCTGCTGAGACCCCCAGAGAGGTGCCTTTAGATTGTGGAAGATGATAGCAATCCACTGAGGGCATGCCTGTGCTCATCGGGGTAGAGACAGGAAGAAACATCTGTCTTACTCCCGGTTTCTGTCTGTGGAATCTGACCTCTGTCTGAGCCATGTACCGATGTCATTCTCCGCCTCTCCCCTCTATCCCACCCTCTGTAAAGGGCCTGCTGCCACAGATCACTCACCCCTGAACACTCCCAGCAGCACCCCTTCCCTCCCTTTACTCATTTCTCCTCCTCTCCCCCTCCCTTTTTGTGACAAAGTCTTTCTGTGTAGCCCAGGATGGCTTCAAACTCCTGATCCCCCCAACCTTAGTTTCCGGAGTACTAGGATCATAGGTGTCCATCATCAGGTTCGGTTTCTTGGCAATTCTTCAAACTATGTCCTTAAAGGCAGGTGGATCTCTGTGGGTTTGAGTGATATCCAGACCAGCCAAGGCTACACAGTGAAACTCTGTCTCAAAAACCAAACCAGGGGGTTGGAGAATGGCTCAGCTGTTAAGAGCATTGGCTGTTCTTCCAGAGGTCCTGAGTTCAATTTCCAGCACTCATATGGTGGCTCGCAACCATCTGTTTTATGACCTGATGCCCTCTTCTGTCATGTAGGTATACATGAAGAGCGCTCATATATAAAATATAAATACAATTAAAACAAACAAACAGAACAAACCTAAAAGCAGCGGAGTAAACATCTGGTCTGACAGCCATGGCTCTCAGGCAGCAGGTCCCCACTGTCCCTAGCTCTGACACACTGATGGGCCACCAGGTATCCCAGTAGGCATATTTACCATGTTTCAGGCCCCAGAGACGCCACTTTCACTTTTGTTGGGACACAGGAGCCCTCTAAGACCCTGTATATCAGCTGAGGTGGCAAACGTCTTTAATTCCAGCACTTGGGCAGAGGCAGGTGGACCCTTGAGTTTGAGGCCAACCTGGCCGAGTTCCAGGATAGCCAGGACTACACAGGAAAATCCTGTCTAAAAAAAAAATCAGTATGCCTAGCCTGTGGGGACTGATCCCGGGGACCTGATGTCTAAGAGGGATTCCAGGACTCACGACATCCTACCTGTTGGTATGTCCACTGCTTGGGTCCTGGATCACATCCTTTGGCCAGCTGGGGACTGCTGTGGGAATCAAGCGAGGCTCTTCTTGATGTCCAGCTGGTAACCACTCTCTTGGCTTGGGATCTGTAACTGCTGGGGAGAAGACAGGGCCCAGTACACACCAGTCCTGGAGCCTCCTAGGAGAAAACAGGGCCCAGTACACACCAGTCCTGGAGCCTCTTAGGAGAAGACAGGGCCCAGTACACACCAGTCCTGGGGCCTTCTAGGAGAAGACAGGGCCCAGTACACACAAATCCTGGGGCCTTCTAGGAGAAGACAGGGCCCAGTACACAGAAGTCCTGGAGCCTCCTAGGATGTTCTTTCCTGGGCTGGGCTGCACAACAAAGGAAGACATGGCCCCAGGCCCATTCGTGCTGGCTCCCAGACCCTGATCTTCATGGGCCGGGGCTTTTTACCCTGCAGCTTGGGATCTTGCGGGCAAGGCACGGTATGGGAGGTGTTGTCCCTTCCTATGCAGCCTTCAGCCCCTCGGCCTCGGGGGAATAAAAGAGTCATCTGACTGTCTCCTTGGGCCCCTGTTCACACCTCCACACAAAGCTGGGAGGCAGGTTTGGTTATTATGAACAAATATAACTAGGTCTCCTGTGTTTGGGATTGCTAAATCTGGCAGCTTTACATTTAAGATAGAAATAGAGCTGGGCACTCAGTTGCCTGAGGAGATGCCATCAGGTTGGACCCTCAGTGTGCTCACTGGTCTAGCAAGTGGTCACTGGCATGGTCAGGCTGCAGGACATGTGACTATTACGTCGAGCTGTGGAGACCTGGAGACAGGCCCAGGTCACCATTTTCTGTCATCTACCCATTCTCTGGCCCAGTCACTGTCAGAGCGGCACTGTGACAGGGTCTGGGGCTGCCACTCCCTTCATCCAAGCTTCTTTCTAGTCTCCACATAGAAAATGCCTCTGTCGCCACCCGAGGTGTGACTAGACAATCTTTTACTTTCTCTGTGTAGCCCTGGCTGTCCTGCAACTCGCTCTGTAGACCAGGCTGGCCTCAGACTCAGAGATCCACCTGCCTCTGCCCCCAGCGCTGGGACTTAAGGCGTGTGTGCCACCTAGTCAGTCTTTTTCGTTTTTAAATTTTCTCTTCTTAGTTCTGTATTAAGTATAAAGGAACCTGTTCTATATTTCCCCTCAAACCCAGAGCAAGAGGTTTTTTATTGACCCAAACGAGAAACCCATTTCTGATATGGACCCTAAAGGGTGGTGTGGCCTCCAGTCTATCTGGGCTTAGAATTGTCAGCTTCTGACTCCCTTCCTGTCTGCACTCTGCCTTAGACCCAAGCTCTGGCTCTGCATGGGAAAACCGCCACTCAGTTTTCCAGGGCTACCACCAGGGCAGGAAAGACCTCTAGCCGGGGCTTGCTGGGGTCAGGGTACAGGGACAGCACAATGACAAGCGGGAGAGAACAATGGTGAGCTCCCCGGAGCCCCTGCGGAGGCTTTTAGTCCGTCCTTCCTGTGAAGGTTAAATCTTTGGTGCTCACTTTTTATGGGTATATGTGTGTGCCCGAGTGTATGCCTGTCTGTGTACCATGTGCATACAGGAGCCTTCCACCATGTGGGTGCTAGGAATCCAAACCACCTGAGCCAGTCCAGTTACTTTTATTTATATCTTTTTGAGATTGGTTCTCATATGCCTGGAACTCACTATGTATGCCAGGCTATCCTTGAACTCACAGAGATCTGCTCTGATGGTTAGTCTTCATTACCAACCTGACACAGTCTAGGATCCCACAGGAAGGGAGTCCTGATGTGGGTGTGTCTAGGTCAGGTTGGCCTTTGGGCATGCGGGTGAGGATCCTTGATTAATAGGAAGACCTGCCCACCGTGGGTGGAACCATTCTTACTAAGCGTAAGAATGCAGAAAGCAAGGGGAGCACTAGCAAGCATGCATACTGATTCCTCTCTGCTCATGCACACGGGTGAAATATGACTGGCTGCTTCCAGTTCCCACTGCCTTGACTTCCCCACAATGATGGTCACCAGAACTTGTGAGCCAAATAAATAAACCCGTTTTCCCTTAAGTTGCTTTTGCCAAGGTGTTTCATCGCAGCAACTAAGGCATCCCTTCTTTTGTCACTTCTCTCGTCACATGCCACACTGTAGCTTCTGGGGTCCCACCGAAGTAAAATGGGCCCACGGAGAGAACCAGATCTGGTGTGCACAGGCAGCTACTAGACAGACTACTGGGGCAGGTGTGACTCCTCTGTGGCCAGTCCATTTCAGACAGCGCTGGGCACTGAACCCCACATCTACTCACCTGTGTGATTTTTTTTAAAGGTCAGATATGAGGATGCAGCCCAGCTGGGCCTGAAAACCACTTGCTGTGTAGACCAGTCTGGCCTTGAACTTGCAGCAATCCTCCTACCTCTGCTTCTGAGTTCTGGGATTACAGGACCTCAATGGTGTGTGGTTGACACTCTTAGTGTCCAATGGGAAGAAATAAAACAGTAGACAAGATGGCGCAGGGAGAACTCGAACCGTCATTCCCTCAGGCCAGGGCTGATGAGAGCTGCAGATCTCCTGAGACCCCATCAGAGGGGTCGGGCAGCCAACGGATGATTAACTGGCACTGGTGTACTGAGGGGCTGGGTGGCTGTGGATGGGCCAGATTGAAGCGGGTGGAGGAGAGGTGAATCTACACCGGGAACAGAACAGATGCAAATCAAATGCCGGGAGGCCTGGCTAGCAGATGATGATGGAGAAGGGCGGGGAAGTGGGAGGCAATGGAGAGCCTGGGACCCAGACCGGCCAAGCCACTGGGGCAGGGTGAGGAGCTGACACTTGGAAGGCCGTCCCAGCACTTGGAGGAGGCTGGCAGGGTGTGCTCATGGGGAGAAACAGCTGCGCAGGTTCTAGGTAGCCGCAGGGGCCAGGGCATGGTGTGCAGCTGTTGCCACAGTAGACAGGGGCCCGGGGAACTTCTCATAACTACCAAGGCAGTTGCCCCAATGGAACTCACGGAAGAAGCTGGAATTTGCTAGGGCTGAAACTGATTCATGTTCACTCGTATTCTTTCTACATCTGTCGCTATCTCCCTCTCTCTCCTTCCTGTCTCTCTCCTCCTGCCTCACCTTCCTCAACAGGATCTGTGTAGACCAGGCTGGCTTAGAACTTACAGTCCTCCTGCCTTTGCCTGTGGAGTGTGCTGGGATGACACACGTGTGCCACTATGCCGTTGGCCTAAGTCAGCTGTTTTTGAAAATTAGTAATTATCAATATTGACTTTGGCAACTGCCACCAATGTCACCTAGCCATTTCTATGCACGAGCTCAAGTACCCCTGAACCCAACAGCATGATGAATCTATCTGAGAGACAGGACAGGTGCTGGTGGTGTGGCTCAGTGGTAAAGCGCCTGCCTGGCTGTATGAGGACCTCAGAGTGAAGTGCATCCAAGGAGACCCTCATCCTCCGGATCAGCAGAGCCAGCAGACACTCTGGACGCCGAGCTAATCCCTCATGGGGAAGGCATTCTTAGTAGACTCACAGCTGTAAACTCAGGCCAAATGACCAATGACCAGTGACTTGGCAAAAACCTTGAAGCTGCCCCTAACCAAAAGGACCCTTGAATGCCCCTCCCGAGCCACAGGGACCCCACTTGGGCTCTGTGACTAGCTGGTTCCTCAGCATCTGGGCATGGGAGACTTTGACTCCAACCAACGTGAGCTGTGGCTTTTCCTGTCTGAATGGAGATTAGAGTCTTATGTGGCCTACTCACAATCCTTTCAATTTCCTTTTGAAAATTGAAAAAGAAATATTCAGTATATTTCTGGGTCAAAATGCTCAAACACACACCCCCACACCCTACGCCCAGCATCTAAAATATACTTTTATGCCTCACCAGTTCTGCAGTTTCTGTTTAACTCCCTGACTGACTGACTGACTGCTTCAAAGCACATTCCGACCTCAGGGCTGTTTGTGTGCTCAGCCGCACATTCTGATGCCATGGAGCCTCTAACTGAGACACTGAGGTTCTGAAACCTGGTCTCAGTCTACATTGGGATGGTTTAGGTAAGCTTTGGGAATGTCCCGAGGGTTCATCTGGCAGTGCAGAGGCAGTGAGACACGCAGATGTGGAGGCTAGGGCAAGGAGGTGTTACCGCCTGGGGGGGGTGTTGATATAGTCAACATAAAATCCTAAGAGCAAGCCTGGCCCTCTGTGGCTGCTGGCTTCTTGTCTTGCCATATGCTCTGGGACTCTAGTGTGTATGTCCACCATAGTGCCATCTACCATGCTGTGACATAAGCAAGGAGGACCTAGCAAGAGGTTAAAGCAATGGGAATATAGGGCTTTATATTTCGTTTCCTAAACTGTGAACTAAATGAACCTATTTTAAAATAAAGTACTCAACCCCAGGTAAAGTGCTTCTTCTGAAAACATGAAGCCTGAGTTCAGTACCCAGCACCTACACAAACACCAGGGCATGGCAGTGTGTGCCTGTAATCCCAGTGCTGCAGAGGTAGAGACAGAACCGTCTCCGGGGCTTGCTGACCAGCCGGTCTAACTGCATCAGTGGGCTTCAGGGTCAGTGAGAGACCCTGCCTCAAAAACTAAGGTGGAGAGTGACGAAGACACCTAATGTTGACCCCTGGCACACACAAAATAAAACACCCCGCTGCAGGCATTTTGTTACAACCATGGGAAGAGGACTAAGCCACATAGCAAGCAGAGATGGCTACTTCAAAGTTTCATTAAATTGAGGAGCTGCTAGATGTGAGTGGTAGACACAGTGTTTTAACGGGACCTGGAAACAAGCCCGATACCAGCTCTGTCAGGGGGACTGGAGGCCTGTGGACTTCTGTGACCCAGGACTGTGGCTGAGACCAGAGAGCTCCGCAGCGGCAGGCATGTGTCTGTAGGCCCCACTGCTGCTTCACTTGGATTCTTGAACCCAGGAGCTCAGGACCGCCTCTGCACGCACGCACAGTGTTCTTACATGGAAAGGATATGCCACGCCCAGCAGCACCAGGTTTGCGACCTTTGCAGATGTCCGGCTGAGTGGCTGGTAGGGTCTGCAGACAGCTATTTCTGGCTTGTTGGGCATTCTGGGGAGAAATGAGATGGTCTCCCAGCCTGCAGAAAAACATGAAAAAAAGCCAATAAATACAGATAGCAGGGAGGTATTTGAGGCGGGTTTTCTCGCTGATCCTGGAGCACACCGATTCAGCTGGACTACCTGGCTTCGTAGCATCACAAAGAGATGCAGGAGGTGGCTGTAACTGGGGCTATTTTGGGAAAGGGACATTTTAAAACATATTTTTGTTAGTTTTGCCTTTTTAAGTTAAACAATGATATTTATTCAGTGTGAGCTCACCCCCACAGCACACATGTGGCTGTCGGGAGACAACTTGGAGCAGTTGGTTCTCTTTCCATCTCGGAGAGCTTGGTGATGAGTGAGCACCGTTACCTGCTGGACCATCTTATCTGCCAGGGTTTTTAAAAGATAGCATCTCAAGTAGCCCAGGCTGGCCTTGAACTCATCATGTAGGTGAGAGTAGACCTTTCTACCTACCTCTCCCAAGTGCTGGGATGACAAGTAGAACCACCCCCTGGATAAACCACCTTTCTTTTTTTGCTTTTTTGAGACAGGGTTTCTCTTTGTATCCATGGCTGCCCTGGAACTCACTCTGTTGACCAGGCGGGCCTTGAACTCAGATTTGCCTGTCTCTGCCTCCTGAGTGCTGGGATTAAAGGCATGTACCACCACTGCCTGGCTCTAAATCATCTTTTTTTTTAAAAGAGTAGTGACAGAAGCCAGCAGGCCCTTTGAGGTGGCAGCTGTACCTCATACCTGCTCGTTCCCTTGTGAACTGATAACATTACAAGGGTTAACGCATATCTAAAACATCATCAGGACATCTTAAGAGCTGTGGGTTGCTCAAGGCTCCTAGTGTTTCCACCAAACAAGGCACAAACCACTTCTCCAAGGACGAGGCTGACTGTGAGTGACATCCTGTCACGTAAGCCCTGCACAGACGTGGGCAAGAGCACGGCTGAGGCAGGTTCATCTCCTAGCGCCGAGAGATGCATCTTGCTGTGCTGGCCCCATGCTGAGGAGACGCATGGCAGCTTCTGGTCCGGCTTTGTCGGCTACACTCAGATTTGGAAAGAGACAGGTTTGGGAGACAGGAGGCTCCGTGTGTCAGCTCGGACAGGGTCCTAGTTGTATACATGTATGTATACGTGACAGAGCGCTCACTCATTCCAGCAAGGAGACGCTGGTCACGGACTCAGCAAGGACTCGGTGAGTCACAGCATGATGACAAGCCTATGCCTGCCTAGGATCAGATATGGGAAAATGGCTGTGGATAGATACAATTCTTTATGGTTCAACAAGGACAAGGAGATGTGTACCATTCTGGAGAAACTTCTCAGCATGGTGCGGGTGCTGAGTTAGAGGTGGGCTGGAGCTGGGGGGGGCATTAGGCCTCCTGCTCTGAGCTGGGGTTTCCTGGGGGCCAGAGAGAGAGAAGTGGAGGGGCTGCAGGCAAGGTAAAGGGGGGTGGGTAAAGATGTTTGAACTCCAAGGGGGACGAGGAGGCCAACAATGGCATCCCGTGCCTTCTAGAAGGGCCTCTGTGGTCATGGTAGGTGTGGGATGGCAGCAGAGAGAGGCGGCCCAGTGAGGCCCAGAGAACACAGGGCAGGGGCAGGGGTGAAGGGTGGGTTCCCGTCATGCTGATCCTGCAGACACTGACTGGGGTGCTGTGAGGCACCTCTGTGAGTCCCAGTTGGGCTGGGGTGCCATCAGTGAGCAGGATAGGGTGACCCCCCACACCGGGGCTCCAGACCTCTTCAGAACCCAGCACACAGGAGGGAGCCAGGTTAAGGCAGAGGAACAAACCACAGTGGCGGCCAGGGATGGGGCGGTCACTGGGAGGGGTTGGATTAGCAACCACAAGAGTGTGGTGGGCTCCAAGAGTTGGGAACTGTTAGGTCACCTGTGATCCTGGAAGTCACTGAGCATTCAGGAGGAAGTCCAGACTGGTGCACGGAGCCAGGGAGGACCAAATGGGAGGGAACCACACTCCAGGCTAAAGGGAGGAGAAGCTGGGGAGGGGCATCAGGTGTACAGATAGGTACAGAGCCTCCAGAATTCAGGAGGGTTAGTTAGGCTGATGTGCATAGGAGTCATGTCTGGGTGACACACAGAAACAAGGCTGAGAGAGGGTAGAGTCAGGTGCCCGTGTTTACCTCAGCCTTTCTGTCCCTGATGATAAAACCAGTGTTTATCATAAAAAAACCCAGATAATACAAAGGATGTATAGCACAGCCCCTACCACAATACCCACAGGTGACCACTTAACTGTGATACGTTTCAGTCTTTTAAAACATGCAAATGCACGGCTGGGAGTGTGGCTCGGTTGGTAGACAGCCTGCCTGGTATACAGGAGGCCCTGGGTTTGACCCCAGCACTGCATTAACCAGGCATGTTGGTGCGAGCCTCTAACCCAGCACTTGGGAGATGGAGGGAAGAGAACCGATACGTGAAATCATCCTCAGGAAATACAATCCCAGGCTAGCCTGGACTACCTGAGACCCCGTCTCACTGTGGTGCACATCTCAGGGAGGCAGAGGCAGGTGGATCTCTGCCACTTCAAGGCCAGGCTAGTCCACATAGTAAGTTCCAGGCCAGTCAGGGCTGCATAGTAAGAGCCTGTCTGAAACACAGCGCATGCACCACCACACCTGGCTTTGTTTTATTTTACAGGGAGGAAAAAAACCCAAAAAACCTGGGACCAGCCTGGGTCTTTAGAGACGGCCAGTCACACCCCTCACAGTTCTCCTTTCTATTCAACAACGCATTGTCACACTGTGTGGATCTCCCAATGTCATCAACTATTTATTCTTAATGCTGCTACATATCTCCAGTACTGTTGGTGACCGTAACTTGGGTAGCCAGGATTCTATACAGGGCATGTAGATATTTCTTCACAATCAATACAGTAACAAGTACCCTGTGCAGATCTATAAATTACAGGGTAGAGCTACTGACCCAGAAAGCATGATCTCTTGAATCTGTGGAGCACATATTAACTAAGTGTCCCCAGGAGGGCTAATCTTGATTCATATGGCAGCAATGCAGGGTTACCAAGGGGCTGGTGATTGTGAATGAAGAATCAAATTCCTTGAGTGTAAATTCAAGAAGCAGGGGTGGGAATTCTGATCATCATCACTCCCAACCGTTAGGTGGCTGCGGGTTTTCTGAATACTGTCACATTCTTATCATGTCACACCGAGATCTCTCCATGTCTTTTCTCCTACACGATTTGCTCTGTGTCCTGAGGGCAGGAATCACATCTCACTTAGTTTTGGGTCCCCGGGACTGAGTTCACACCCCATCAGTCATAGAAATGAAATCAACGTTGAACTTGGAGGTGGTGGTGCACACCTGTAATCCCAGCACTGAGGAGGCTGAGGCAGGAGGACATGTGAGTTTGAGCCCAGCCTGGGCTATAAAATGAGACCCTGTCTCGAAAAAAGAAAAGTTTGTTAAATTTACCTGGCAGAGGGACTTAGGGGCAGCAGCCACTGCTTAAGGCAGTGATTCAGGAGTGCTCTCGCAGCTGGGCAGGTCCACCCTGGCCAAATGCCTCCCAGACAGACCGCCAGTGGGGGCGCCAGCTGAGCCCCAACTCTGGAAAAGCGTACTCCAGGGACGGGTCACCTGGCCCGAGAATGAACGGTGCTCCTAAGTTCGTTAGACTCACGGCCACCTCTGATTGAAATGTCCTTATGTTCCTTATGTCATGGTTGCCTTCCTGTGAAGCCAGGGTTTTAATCATTTTCTAAACGTTGAAGAAACTGTTGTCCTCTTTCCCATGCCCAACAGGAATTTCATCAGTTCCTCTTGCCGCGTCTATCCCAAACGGACCATTTAAACTACGATGACCAGTACTCATCTGTCACGGTTCTAGATCAAAGCACACAAACCCCTCAGACATAAGTGACACATTGGAGGGCAAGGAAGGCATGCCGATGCATTCACACTGCTTTTAACTTGCGGGTGTGGTTAAGTGGTTGTTCTTTTAGAAATATGTTTCTAGCTAGTCACCACAGTGTTTGTACATATTTATGGGTACAGTGTGACATTTCAGTACATGGACACACAGTACTGATTACGTCAGGACAACTGCACAGCTATCTGTACGAGGGTGTTCTTATCCTTAGGAGGTATACACTGAGGGTCTGTAACCTCCTTTTAAACAGTTCAGTAAGAAACAAAACTAAAAAATGAACGAACAAACCAAAGACTGTATAAGCCAGGTATGGTGGTGCAGAACTGTAAGGCTGTCTCTCAGCCACACAGCAAGTTTGAGGCCAGTCTGGACCACAAGATACAAAACAAGGCAGGCCAGACTTGGTGGTGTACACCTTTGATCCTAGCCCTAGAGTCAAAAGCTAGTCTATGTTACATAGTGAGTTCAAGGTCAGCCAGTGATTCATAGTGAGACCTTGACTCAACAACAACAACAAACACAGAATAAGGGTCTGGAAGGCTGAGTGCAGTGGCAGAGGCCTTTAATCCCAGCACTCTGAGTCTGAGGCCAGCCTGGGCTACATAGTAAGTTCCAGGACAGTCTGATCTACATAGTGAGACCCTGTCTTGAAAAACAAAACAAAACAGAAACAAACCAACAAACAAAGGTCTGGAGAGATGGCTCAGATTAGCACCCATGTCAGGTGGTCACAATCCCTCCTAACTCCAGCACAGGGGGTTTGACACCCTCTTCTAGTGTCCAAGAGCATCCCCCACATACACAAAGTGAATCTCTTAAAAACAAGACAAGTATGTTTGTAAATGCTGTGTTATACATATAGAGAAAAGGCAATGTGGGCGCTAGCGTCTCTCTGGTGCGATCTTCTCTCAGTTTGACTGCACGTTCAAAGTGCCGGTTGTGTGTGAGGGAAAAGGACACATATGATTTGTGTGTCAATAATACAAATAAGATCCTAGAGAGGGAAAAGGACACATATGATTTGTGTGTCAATAATTACAAATAAGATCCTAGAGGCAGAAGCACAAGGGGTTTAATCAAACAGACCTCAGAGCACTGGTCCATGGTGTGGGCTGGGAAGTAGCATACATCAGATTCCAGATGTGTGATAAAGCTTGGCCAGAGCTGGTGCTGGACGCTGGTGTTCCTGGTAGCTGTGCCATGGAGCTTACGTTACAGGTATTTACACCCTGTTGGCTGCTCAGTGCCTCCTGGTTTATCATAAAGTTACCACACAGCAAAACTGGAAATAATCGAACTGTCCAGCGATAGGGGCTAAGGAAAACACGGTGTGACCCTTAGGATAAGGCCACTACTGCCGAGTGGGTGACCAGAGTGTGTCAGCCAGCTCTCTGTGACACATGCATACCTGTTTATAGTTTTCCAAGTTTAGGAAGAGACAGGGCATGCAAATCCCAGAAGGGACTCTTAACTGGCAGCCCAGCCTCAAGCCTTTCAGAGGCACAGGTGACCTGACTGAAGTTTTATTTTTCTGTCAAGAGATAGAAACCAGGCTACAAAAAAATGAACAGTGCCCAGCAGCATGGCTGTTCTCTCTCTCTCTCTCTGTCTCTGTGTCTGTCTGTCTCTCTGTTTCTCTCTCTCTCTCTCTGTCTGTCTGTCTCTCTCTGTCTCTCTGTCTCTCTCTCTGTCTCTGTGTCTGTCTCTCTGTTTCTCTCTCTCTCTGTCTCTCTGTCTCTGTCTGTCTCTCTGTCTCTGTCTCTCTGTGTCTGTCTGTCTGTCTCTGTCTCTCTCTTTCTCTTCCTGTGCTGGGATAGAACCCAGGGCTTCATGCATACCCTAGGTTACACAGCTGCTTTGAGAGCCTTGTCTAAAACAGAGCTGTGACACTCGAATACTAGCATCCGGCCTGGTGCTATGGGGAGAGGCCACAGGAATGAACCATAGGGCAGGAGTTCAAACTGGCTGAACCCACCCACTGCTCAGTAACTTTTTTCTGAAATGAACCTGGCCAACAATGGTCTTTGGAGGTGGCCTTGGGATTCTAGCAAGTCACATACTTTTCCTTCTGGAAGAAACCTAAGTGTGTATGGGGAGATGGGACTCACCTGCCTTTCCTCCCAAAATCCTCAAGAGATAAACGATAAAGAGAAGTGCTTTCCAGTATGAACGCTTTATTGTACACGTTGATACACGTTCCACAGCAGTTAATCCAAGCAGAGCTTACAAAAATAGACTCCCGCTTCCTGTATCCCGAACTTACACTGGGCACCCTGTCCTGTGGCCACCAGGGGTGACGGGCCGACGCAGGGGCTCATCCCCACTCCACTGCACACCGGGCGGCCCTTTCCGACGTGCCTTCCCAGTGTTGGTCATGATCTGGTGGAAGTAAGAAACAGCTATAAGACAGTGTGTCCCTAAGAGCTACCCAGAAGCTGAGTGGACTAAAGGGAATAGGTTTCCAGGGGCTGAGTGGACTAAAGGGAATAGGTTTCCCAGAAGCTGAGTGGACTAAAGGGAATAGGTTTCCCAGAAGCTGAGTGGACTAAAGGGAATAGGTTTCCAGAAGCTGAGTGGACTAAAGGGAATAGGTTTCCAGAAGCTGAGTGGACTAAAGGGAATAGGTTTCCAGAAGCTGAGTGGACTAAAGGGAATAGGTTTCCAGGGGCTGAGTGGACTAAAGGGAATAGGTTTCCAGAAGCTGAGTGGACTAAAGGGAATAGGTTTCCAGAAGCTGAGTGGACTAAAGGGAATAGGTTTCCAGAAGCTGAGTGGACTAAAGGGAATAGGTTTCCAGAAGCTGAGTGGACTAAAGGGAATAGGTTTCCAGAAGCTGAGTGGACTAAAGGGAATAGGTTTCCAGGGGCTGAGTGGACTAAAGGGAATAGGTTTCCAGGGGCTGAGTGGACTAAAGGGAATAGGTTTCCAGGGGCTGAGTGGACTAAAGGGAATAGGTTTCCAGGGGCTGAGTGGACTAAAGGGAATAGGTTTCCAGGGGCTGAGTGGACTAAAGGGAATAGGTTTCCAGAAGCTGAGTGGACTAAAGGGAATAGGTTTCCAGGAGCTGAGTGGACTAAAGGGAATAGGTTTCCAGGAGCTGAGTGGACTAAAGGGAATAGGTTTCCAGGGGCTGAGTGGACTAAAGGGAATAGGTTTCCAGGGGCTGAGTGGACTAAAGGGAATAGGTTTCCAGAAGCTGAGTGGACTAAAGGGAATAGGTTTCCAGAAGCTGAGTGGACTAAAGGGAATAGGTTTCCAGAAGCTGAGTGGACTAAAGGGAATAGGTTTCCAGAAGCTGAGTGGACTAAAGGGAATAGGTTTCCAGGAGCTGAGTGGACTAAAGGGAATAGGTTTCCAGGGGCTGAGTGGACTAAAGGGAATAGGTTTCCAGAAGCTGAGTGGACTAAAGGGAATAGGTTTCCAGGGGCTGAGTGGACTAAAGGGAATAGGTTTCCAGAAGCTGAGTGGACTAAAGGGAATAGGTTTCCAGAAGCTGAGTGGACTAAAGGGAATAGGTTTCCAGAAGCTGAGTGGACTAAAGGGAATAGGTTTCCAGAAGCTGAGTGGACTAAAGGGAATAGGTTTCCAGAAGCTGAGTGGACTAAAGGGAATAGGTTTCCAGAAGCTGAGTGGACTAAAGGGAATAGGTTTCCAGGGGCTGAGTGGACTAAAGGGAATAGGTTTCCAGGGGCTGAGTGGACTAAAGGGAATAGGTTTCCAGGGGCTGAGTGGACTAAAGGGAATAGGTTTCCAGGAGCTGAGTGGACTAAAGGGAATAGGTTTCCAGGAGCTGAGTGGACTAAAGGGAATAGGTTTCCAGAAGCTGAGTGGACTAAAGGGAATAGGTTTCCAGAAGCTGAGTGGACTAAAGGGAATAGGTTTCCAGAAGCTGAGTGGACTAAAGGGAATAGGTTTCCAGAAGCTGAGTGGACTAAAGGGAATAGGTTTCCAGGGGCTGAGTGGACTAAAGGGAATAGGTTTCCAGGGGCTGAGTGGACTAAAGGGAATAGGTTTCCAGAAGCTGAGTGGACTAAAGGGAATAGGTTTCCAGAAGCTGAGTGGACTAAAGGGAATAGGTTTCCAGAAGCTGAGTGGACTAAAGGGAATAGGTTTCCAGAAGCTGAGTGGACTAAAGGGAATAGGTTTCCAGGGGCTGAGTGGACTAAAGGGAATAGGTTTCCAGGGGCTGAGTGGACTAAAGGGAATAGGTTTCCAGGGGCTGAGTGGACTAAAGGGAATGTTTCCAGGGGCTGAGTGGACTAAAGGGAATAGGTTTCCAGGGGCTGAGTGGACTAAAGGGAATAGGTTTCCAGGGGCTGAGTGGACTAAAGGGAATAGGTTTCCAGAAGCTGAGTGGACTAAAGGGAATAGGTTTCCAGGGGCTGAGTGGACTAAAGGGAATAGGTTTCCAGGGGCTGAGTGGACTAAAGGGAATGTTTCCAGGGGCTGAGTGGACTAAAGGGAATGTTTCCAGGGGCTGAGTGGACTAAAGGGAATAGGTTTCCAGGGGCTGAGTGGACTAAAGGGAATAGGTTTCCAGGGGCTGAGTGGACTAAAGGGAATAGGTTTCCAGAAGCTGAGTGGACTAAAGGGAATTGGTTTCCAGGGGATGCCAGGCTCAAGGGCGTCTGCACTCCTAGCACGCAGGCGGCAGGAGGGTCAGAATTCAGCTACACAACAAGTTTGAGGCTAGCCTGCGCTACATGAAATTCTGTCTCTAAAAGGGGTGGGGTAGAGTGGTATAAGGACAGAGTTCAGATCCCAGCACCTACATGACAGCTGGGAAGACATGGTGTGTAGCTTGTAATCCTAGCTGAGAAGTACAGACCAGGGGTGCCTGGGGTAAACAGGCTAAGGAGACTAGACAGATCCAGAGCTCTGGGTCTGGTGACAGATCCTGCTTCAATGTGTTAGGTGGAAAGCAATAAAGGAAGACATGTGACATGTAGTGTCAACTTGTGACCTCCACATGCACACACGCGTATATGGACACACATACATGCATATACACCATATGCCAAAAAAGGGGGGGGGGACCTAGTAACAATAACGAAAACCAAACAAACAAAAAAGGGAGGCTTTCCAGTGAGAGTGTCCATGCTACAGGTTACGTGGGAACACAGAAGCTGGGAGGAGCCTTTTGCATACAATCACAGGTAGAGTGTAAAACTTAAAAGTCACTGGAAGAAGAAAACAGCTGAGAACTTTGCTGCTCTAAGCGTTGAAGAGGGCTGGATTTTTAAAGGCGAGGAAGGAGAAAAAACCAGGCAGATTTGGTTTTTAAAAAGGCAACATTTTAACCATGGGTAGTGTATAATGCCAGCACCCAGAGGGAGGCAAAGATTGTATGTCTCTGTAGGCTTAGGGATAGCCTGATCCACCTTCCTCTCTGCTTTGTAGCTACAATTTGGGCCATCCCAAGGAGCCTTCACCTGGGATATAGATCAAGTTTAAGGCTAGCCTGGGCTACTTAGCGAGACCAAAACAAAGCCAGGAATTAAGCTACTAGATAAGGGGGTCGGAGCCACAAGGACTTCTTCTAGGTGAGTCTGAGGCTACTGCTGGCTCACTGCTTCATGGGAGCTCACCCCTCCCGGTGCCTCCCATGGGATCAGATAATACATCACATATTTGTTTTTTGGATGTTTGAAAATAGGACTCAGCAATGCAGTTGGCATGCAGAGACATTCACTAGCCACTCCTATGGGTCAGAGCTTCCCCACTATCTGCTGGGCTTGCAGAGGACACTGAGGGACTTCTCAGTGGCCCCACCTGGGCTGCACCTGTTGATGAGGCAGTGTTCTTCAAGTTGGATTCCAAGGAAATGCCTGAGGAGTTTCACAGATTGGCAATGGGTGTGGTTGTACTTCTAGTCCAACAACAGCTCCCATCTGGATTACAGATGGAGGGTCTGCCTGAAGGAAGGCTCTCCCGAAGCAAAATGTGGTGCTCTTAACCATGACAAAAATAATGTAGCACATGATTACTCAGTTTACTCAGTGGAACAGGATGGTCAGCCCAGGTGTGCTGGTCCATGCCCAGAACCCCAGCACTAGAGAGGCCAAGGCTGGAGGAGCTCAAGTGCCAGGCCAGCCTGGGCTGTATGGTAAAAGCCTGCCTCAAAAAACAAACAACAATAAAGCCCAGAGCAACCACAATGAAAGCTACAAAAACTTCTTTTCTTCTTTTCCCCCTTTCTTTTTGTATTGCTAGATACAAAATCCTGAACACAAGCAGGGCAAATGCTCTACCACTGAGCCACACTTCCTGACTCTCTTTTTTGGAGAGAGTGGGTGGGCAGGGTCTACTCTGTTTAGGCTCTCCTAAACTTTCAATCCTCCGGCCTCAGGCTCCTCAGTTCTGAGATTACAGGTATGTGACATTATGCCTGACCAGCATGAATTAAGGTAATACGTGCATACTTCAGGGCAGCAGGTGACAAGCTTGACAGACTGAGTTTGAGCACCATGACCTACATGGTGGAAGGAGAGAGATGATTCTTAAAGTTGTCCTCTGACTTCCACATGTGTGCGTGCCACAGAAATACCAACAGTCCTCACGAATGAATAAATGCAATTAAGAAAAGAAAACCAGCTGGGCAGCAGTGGCACACGTCTTTAATCCCAGCACTCAGGAGGCAGAGACAAGACAATCTCTTCAGTCTGGTCTACAAATCGAGTTCCAGAACAGCCAGAGCTGTTACACAGAAAAACCCTGTCTCAAAACCCCAAATAAGCAAACAAAAAAGAAAAAAAAAACAGAATCAATCAATCTATCAATCAATCTATCTATCTATCTATCTATCTATCTATCTATCTATCTATCTATCTATCTATCTATGTACCTACCTACCTACCTATCTATCATCTATCTACTCTGTACACATAAAAAAATAACCTAGAAGCAGCAGACACTGTTGGCTGACTACTATTCACTCTCTCACCAACACAACACTTATTTTGTTGACACAGTATTGTGCAGCTTGGAGTCACATGACCATATTTTCAGGCATAAGAAATGAAGGACACCAGAGTGAATTTTAGAGAACGCACTGTTGAGAGTGTAGCTGGCTTGTGTGACTGGCCCTTTCTTGACTTTACAGATTATAGCAGGAGCTGTCAATTACCTAATGAAAAAGAGACAACCAACATTTAATTGACAGCACTGAGACAGAGGTACAGAGCCAATGAGATCTAAGCTTCCAGGCTCTAGGAGGGTCCTAGTGTTGTGTTCCTACAAAAGTAGGAACATCTGACAGCAAGCGGTTAATGCTGCTATCTGTTCATTTTGATTCCTCTTCTCTCTTCCCCTTATGTCACTTGGAATGATCAAATTAATTTTTCAGTTTGCTGAAGACATAGTGAGCTGAGCTGACGTTGCATTTAGCTTGAGCTTAGTGGGAAAACTTTATGATTCACAGTCACATAAGGCCAAACACTTAGCTCTCCTAGTGTAAGGATTTACTGTGTTATCAGAGTTTTTTCAAATTTCGTGTACAAAGAAACATGGAGCACCTGTCTCACAGGCGGAGGGTGGTAGATGATCATCCCAAAGCAGGCCACTTTGGCAGACTGGCTATTTTGAGTTAAAGACACTTGAAGCAGAGCAGATGCAAGAACAGTCTCTGACTTCCCTGCTTTTCTTCACAGAAACAAGATAAACCTTCACGTGAGAGCTGACTTTCCTGTATCACGAGAAGAGACATTCCTAGTCGGGAAGTCATGGGCCATGAGAATTCTGTCTAAACACACCTTGTAAAAATATTTCTTCTCATCTTTTTGTCTCTCAGTAGAAAACATTATAAACTCATCCTAATTCAGATTTTAAAAAAATCACACTTTGTGAATGTAAAATAACAACTCTGCTATAAAGGAGATAACTTATCCTGTGCCAAATATGAATGACCACAGTTCAGGAGCACAGACCCAAGTCATCCTGAGGGTGCCATGAGCTTTTATAATCACAGAGAATAAAGCCATGAATCAATATTGAGAGAGAGAGAGACAGAGACAGAGAGAGAAAGAGAGAGAGAGACAGAGGACAGAGAGAGAAAGAGAGAGAGAGAGACAGAGGACAGAGAGAGAGAGAGACAGAGGACAGAGAGAGAAAGAGAGAGAGAGAGACAGAGGACAGAGAGAGAAAGAGAGAGAGAGAGACAGAGGACAGAGAGAGAAAGAGAGAGAGAGAGACAGAGGACAGAGAGAGAGAGAGAGACAGACAGAGAGACAAAGAGAGACAGACAGACAGAGAGAGAGAGAGACAGAGACAGAGGACAGAGAAAGAGAGAGAGAGACTGAGACAGAGACAGAGACTGAGACTGTCTTCACTGGGGAGGAGGTCTTTCCTATGGGAATCAGATGCCATCTTTGCTGCATTCTTGGCTTTAGGGTTCCTCCCTGGAGGCTAGAGATCTGTGCTTAGCCACACACTTCCAAGTTTCACTGAGTAGTCAAGAGGATGTTAGCTGAGACACAGAGGTTGTTAAAAGGAAGTAAAGGTCACTAGAGGTGTACTTTGAGGTTTCAAAAGCCCCCCCCTTCTCTCTCTGCCTCCTGCATTTGGGTCAGGATGTCAGCTCTAAGCGACTGCTCCAGCACCGTGTCTGCCTGCCTGTCACCATGCTCCCTGCCACAGTAATCATGGACTAACTCCCTGAAACTGAAAGCAAGCCCCCAGTTAGATGCTTGTTTTTTTTTTTTTGTTTTTGTTTTTGTTTTTTTTTTTTTTGGTTTTTCGGGACGGGTTTCTTTGTATTGTTTTGGAGCTGTCCTGGAACTTGCTCAGCAGACCAGGCTGGCCTCGAACTCACAGAGATCTGCCTTACAGAAAACTCTTGCTGAACCAGAATTATGGGCAAGCACCATGATGGATGTTATCACTGCTATTCTCTTGAGTGCTTGGAAGAGTAGCTCACTCTCCTCTGCAGCATTTGGCATGGCATGGCTCTCTGGTGCAGTGGTGCTGTGTGCTCCGATACATAGCTCTTAGGGGGGCGAGGGGCAGCGTCGTGGCTCAGCAGAGCAGGTACCCAGGGACAACTCCCTTCCAGGCCTGGGCATCTTGGCAAGCTGTCCTGGTTGTACCTTGCCCCTCTCCCTGCCCCAAGTCCCCATGCTGATTTTTAAGTCAGCAGTAGGTGTGGACATGCCAGGGGTTTCAGGCAGGTCTCAGGTGAGCTCGTCTGCCTCTGCAGCTCTTATCTGAGCCTCTTCTTAGGGCTCTTCCACCTGCTCACTGTCTTTGGTAGACTCCACGAGGGCAGCTGCCGTGCCTTCATCAGGGAAATGGGCTTCAAGATTAAGTCTGAATCTAGTTTTCTGAGGAAATGTTTCAGAAGAGAACATCTTCAGACTCAGCCTGAGACCTTTGCTGGGTCCTGCCAAAAGCCCCAAGTCATGACTTTCAGGCACATACACGCCAGAGAAATGCCTGTGACCTGTGGTCAGTGTTCTGGCTGGAATGTGAGTGTCCCCACAGGCTCTTGGTCCCCAACTGGCTAATGCAGGCCTTGAAGGAAAACTTGGTTCTGCTTCTAGTCTAGCCCTCTGTTTTCTGATGGCAATGGAATAACCAAGCCATACCACAAGTTCCTACTGCCATGGGCCAAGCCCTGGCAGCTACCAGACTTTCCCCCTCATGCCAAGATGTACCGTGTCCCCTGAACTCTGAGCCAAAACAAACTTTCACTCCTCTAGCTGCTTCGTCAGCTGCTTGGTCATAGTAAAAGTCACTAGTACAGTTTAGTTTCCCTCATTTGGCACATGCAGTTATGAGATGTGACATCAAGTCCTTTTATGCACTATGAGCACGAAGTAGGAGACAAGACCCTGGCCTAGAATGCATAAGCTGCAGGCTGGCGATTTCAGGTCACCAGGCTGGGTGAAAAGGAGCAGCTTAGGGTGATTTTGAAGCACTAGGAATGCACACATGGCCTCAGTGACTATGGCTTTGCCCCAAACTGAGTTGGGTGTACCATTTAAATTAAGATGTTTCTAAGAGGAGCTCCTGACCTGGACTGGGGTTAGAGGTCTCCAAAAATACATGCATGCTCTGACCCTGGTACCCATGGGCATGGCTTTATTTGTTTAAAAAAAATCTTTGCAGGGCTGTAGAGATGGCTCAGTAAATAAGAGCACTGGCTGCCCTTCCAGAGGTCGTGAGTTCAGTTCCCAGCAACCACATAGTGGTTCACAATCATCTATGATGAGATCTGGTGTCCTCTTCTGGTGTGCAGGCAGAACACTGTATACATAATAAATAAATATTTTTCTAAAAATCTTTGCCAATACAATTAAGGTTCTTTGAAATCAAGAAGGCCACTGAAGATGGAGGCAGAAACCAGAGTGATGTGGCCACAAGCCAAGGATCACCTGGGCTACCATAAGATGGAAAAATCAAGGAAGGCTTCTCCTTCAGAGCTCTAGGGGCAGGCCAGCCCTGCCAATACCAGGAGTTTGGACCTCTGCTCTCCAAAACCATGACAGAGTACATTTCTGTTTTAGCCAGCCAAGGTGTGGCTCTTTGTCCCTGCAGCCACAGGAAATGGATGCCCTTGGTCTTCACCTCTGTGTAAGTGATTCTTTCTATCCTCATGTTGACTGCCACTGCTCCACAGTGGTAATGGACAACAACGAGATAAGCAAGAGTGTGTGGAACTTTTCTGTGGGATCCAAAACCATTCCCTCTATAGCTAAAGGGATTTACATGCATTAAGGAGGTTCTGAGTGTGGATTATGGTGAAACGATGCCATTTCTAAGTGCCTATCATCTGTGGTTACTAATTGAAATCTGTCTTTTGCACCCCACCAGTATGTTCAACCAAAGTGGCAGTCCCAGTATGCTTTGCCTCAGGTTTTGCCACTATATCAACATAAGACCTTACTCACAGCAGTATACTATGTAGAGGGGTCCAAAAAATTAACTGAGGGTTGTATTTAGGTTTATGTCTGACAGAATCACAATCAACCCCTTTGCTGGCATTTAAGCACTGTGGGAGGTACAGACCTAGGTGTTCTGCCGAGTCCTGCAGAGGACCCCGCCCACTGGTCTCTTCTGGTCACCTGCTTCTGAAACAGAGGGTCCTGCAGATGCTCAGAAGAAGTGTACTTTATCATGCAGTCAAGTCTCTCAGAGAAGGCGGCATGCTCCCCAAGGGAAACAAAAGTCTAGTGATAGTTCAGGACTGCCACCAGTAACCTGGAGCCCCTGGCTGCGTCCCCTCCTGACCTCTGCCAGCATCACTGCATTGACCAAGCAGGAGTCAAGCATCCATAGGCGCCTGGGCTCCTCTGGTGCATGATATACTCTGAGAACAATGGTGGGTACTGTCCAGCATGCCTTTTTCTAACTGGGTGGCAGCAGCCAGCCTTCCTCTAGTTTTCTCCAATCACTTCTTTCTTGTCTTTCATTCTTGTTCCCAAGTTCATTTTTCACAAAGTAGCCAGAGTGTGAATCTAAGTTGATATGTTTTAATTTACTTATTTATATTTTGGTAAAATATTTTTGAGATTAGCATCTCATACAGCCTAAGCAGGCCTCAGATTCACACATAACTGAGGATGACTGTGAGCTTCAAGTCTCCCTCACCTCCAGTTCCTCTGCTGGGTTAAGGTACCTGGTGCTTCGAATGGAGCCCAAGTGGGCACCCTATCAAATGAGTGCATCCTCAACCGAACCCTCCCCCACTCTCACTCCTATGGTTTCCTAGCGCCTATGCAGCTTAAAATCCACATCCCTGCTGTGACCCAGAGTTCCTCGAGGTGGCCCCTCGCTGTCCCTCAACCTCAGATTCTACCATAACATGGAAATGGAAAGACTCAGCTGCTGATGACCATGGGTGACGCTGAAGACAATGAACCCTGTGTTGCTGAAGGCACAAAGTCACGCCTGTTCTCCTGCCCTCCTGTCCCAGGACACCTCCGGCATGTGGACTTACTCCCAAGTACTCTGTGGTCAGAAGCTTCTCGCCTGAGAGTTCTCCAAGCTGGGGCTGGATCAGCTCATCCTTGTCCAGGTCGGCTTCCATGATGTCGTGGTCCTCCTGTTTCAAAGGAGGCAGGGTGAGAGGTGTGGACAGCATCCAGCCACAGTACCCCAGAGTGTGCAGCAGCTGCTGGGAAATGAGGTCTCAGAAGCTACCTGTCCCCTGCTCACAACCTATCAGGAAGCTGGGCACCCAGGAAAAGGTCTAAAGAACCCCTTTGCAGCCCTGACAGCAGGGCTGCCTCTGTCTCTGAGAGGTCAAGGGATCAAATGAGTCACAGACACCTGGGAAACACTTCCACATGCACAGCCCTGTGAGGCTGCGAGGCGGCAGATGACAAGCTTGTCCTCTAGTGTTCATAGGTGATAAGAAGGCTCAACACTTTGGTCTCAGTCACTGAAATAATGGGTCCAGAGAGATGGCTCAATGGTTGAGTGCCTGCTGTGTAACCATGAGGAGCTAGCTGTGTTCAGATCTCAGCACCTACAAGACAAGCTGGTTATAGTCCTGCACATGCCTATAACCCGTGATATAGGAGGGGAGATGGCAGAGACAAGAGGATCGTTAGGGCTCCCCTGCTATTAGCCTAGGCAGAAGAAAGAAGAGCTCCAGGCTTGGAGAGAGACTCCACCTCAAAGGAATGGTGGTAAGAGTGATAAAGGACACCTACTGCCCTCCTCGGCTTCGGTATACACACACGGGCTACATACTCACATCACACATGTGTGCTTCAACACAGACACACACACACACACACACACACACACACACACACACACACACAGTGAAGTTGCAGTAAAATGCACACACGCATTGAGGCTCTGAGGTCTACCCCTTCAAGAGTCAACCCTGCCAAGCGCAAGAGAAGATGTCACCAGAGTGCAGGAAGGTGAAAGGTGGTAGGACTGGTCAACCAAGGCACCTCAAAACTGCAAGTGACTGACTCAGGCTTGGCTTGGGGGGAGGAATTCCTGACCCAAGGGAGCAGTCAGCGCAGCATCCAGTTGACAATGAGAATCTCAGTGATGAGACACACGAGAGACAACAGAGCACCTCAGCAAGGAGAAGGTGGCTTTGTTCCTGGGAAGTGGGGGACACACTTCCCCTTCTCCTGCTACAAAGTTCAACTGAAATACTAGATGCTGCATAGAAAACAAGACCCGGAGAGATGGAGAGAATGCAGTGGAGTGAAAGGACACCCCTACCTGTCAGACTTGGTGTCCAAGAAGCCAGCAACCAGAATGTCAATGGGGAAGACAAGTTCCTCTGAAGCCTGTTCCCTCTAGCCAAGGGTCCAGAAAGGGGGACGCTAAGAGGTCAGACAGTTTAGAAAATAACTTCCCTAGAAAACACAGTGACCAGCGTCCAACCATGCCAGCAAGGGCCTCTGACTCCTGGGCTTCTGTCCTCCATGACTGCTGAAACACCTCCATCTCTAGGTGATGCACCAGAGAAAGTCAAGCAGAGGCATTCCATCTGTGCTGGGCAGTGCAGAGTCCCCACTGCCCAGTGAGTGGACCCACACGGAGCAAAGGCTGCTACTCCCATGAGACAGTAAATGGGTGTCTCCCTGATGGCATACTACTGAGTAATAATGAGGTCATCTTATCCTTTCTAGTCAGGGGTGTTTGTTAGTGGAAGCCTAGGAGGGAATCGGAACCATCTACCTACAGCTGCAAAAATAATGGCAGCCATCCCATCTGGAGCCCAGTAGATCAAAAGGCTGGACACTTCACTGCAAGGTTCCAGGCTTGGCGTTGAATCTGTCCTCAAGGGGTACTGAGGTGACTTGCTTCAATGTCCGATCCCGGTAAACCAACCAGGGTGAGGGTGGAGGGTCAGGGCCTTGTGACAAGGCTCCCTCAGAGGTACATAAACCCCCACAGAGGCATGTCTGGGTTAGCCTGTCCCCACCCTGGGCCACTGATCATGGAGCCTTCCATTCTGGCAGTGCTTGAGTGATTCGTGTGGCTCACCTTGGGCAGACAGTTTCTGGAGAAAGGAGATGGTGTGGCTCAGCCTGGGCCAGATTGAGTTTCTGGAAAGTTCTATTCAGTTGCAACTGTGAGCCTTGGACTTCTTAGTCAAGTTTGTTTGGTTGTTTGTATCTTATGAGGACTTTAAGATAAATGCCCAGCTTGAAGGCAGGTGGTTCCTTTAAGAGTTCAAGGCCAGCCTGGCCACGTAGTCAGTTCTAGGCCATTCAGGGCTATGTAGTGAGACCCTGTCTTACACAATAAACAGACAAAAAAAATTCAGTTAAGATTTAACTCTTAGTTGGGTGTGGGGCACATATCTTTGAGTCCGAGCAAATGAAGCACAACAGGTAAAGACAATTTTGAAAAAGGATGTGGGGGAGGGGGAGAGACTCTGATTCCAGAGGTACTGCCTAGCCAGAGTAATCTAGATTGTGTGTTGCTGGCAGAGGGGCAGACAGATTTACTACAAACAGAAGAGGACTAAGAAACAGACCCATGCAAATGTTCCCAACGCCTGCCCCCCCTTGAGTCTGGACTCTTTCCATGTTGCCCAGCATAGTCTTGAACTCTTGGGTTCAAGTGCCCCTTCTAAGTAGCCAAGACTACAAGTCCACATCATCATACCTGGCTAGCTTCCAACTAATTTTTGACAAAAGAACACTAGCTATACTGCCTAGGGACAGAGAGAGAAAATGTCTTTATGTATTCAGTACAAACACAAATTTCCTCATGATTATTTTTGATCTGTGATTGGCCAAATCCTTAGGTACAGAATCTAGACACCAAGGGCTAACTGAAGACATTGCTGGGCTGTGTATGGACGGGGAAGTGTGTGGCAGTCTTTTTCATTTCCTGGCAAGAGTTCCTTCCACATCAGATGGTCCTCTGTACATTAAATCACAAAGAGCAACATGAAGGCCTGCGGTGATTGAGGCTTCAGCTGCAGACAGAGGGAGCAGGCTGGCTCTGAGAATGTGCAGGGCATGGTGACCAAGTGTGGCATAGTCTGGGAGGGGAACCCCAAGCCACCTGCATCCCTGGTGACAATGCTCCCTGAGATAGGCCAACCAATCTGCCACCGATTCCTTGGACACCCAACAGCCTAATGGCTGAATTTGGCTCCCTCCAACTTTCCATAAGGAAAAGGAAGCACCATTCTGAAATGTGGGTAGCCTATGCTTATTTGATGCCAATTTTTGGTTGTTGGTGGTGTTATGATTAGTATGAAATGTCCCCACAGGCTTGAACCTTGTACTGGAGATGTTATTTGGAGAGGTTATGGGAACTTTAGAAAGTGGGGCCTAGGTGGAGGGAGGTCGTCACTGGGGTGTGTTCTGGGGGGTGATGCCTTGTTGTTTCCTGGAAGCCACGAGGGAAACAGTCTGTGCCATGAGCCAAAGCAAATCTTCCCATCCCTCAAATGATCTCTGTTACTGACTAACCCAGTGGTTAGTCTTTGGTGGATCAGATTACAGGTAAATCAGCTCTAAAGCGAATAAAGGGCCATATGTGGGCCTAGGGCTGGGTTGAGAGACAGACCCTGCAGTGAGGCTGTCGGACCTGAACTGTCTGTGCTACTAGGGGTATCAGCTATGGATGAGCTGACTTAAGAGCAGGGGATTCTGCGTTCCCAGGGAACCTCTACAGGTAGGCCAGAAGCAGCACCATGACAGGTACCAGAGCTGGCCATGAACAGCACTGCTCACTTATTCGAGAAAAAGTGAGGAGGTCACCTCAGATTTCCTTAGCACTTTATTCCTTACCTCTCATGTAACTCAGTGGGGAGTCCTCTGACCTTCCTGTTTGATTGGGAAACTCAGGCCTGGAGGGTAAGTAACACAGTGACAGTCTAGCCTTCAGCTTGGGCAGGTCCTTTCTGTTTAGGTTTTTCTAATTCAGCCTATAATGCCCTGTAGGAAAAGCCTATTTCTGAGGATGCACAGTGGGGAATACCTGGGTCTCTTAAGGACCTCGTATCTGGCTGTAACTGTTCCACAGGTCCCAGTGAGTGAAGGGAAAGATGTCAAGACTATAGTCTGGAATCCACAGGTTCATGCTTTTCTCTTTGCTAATTTTGTCTAATAACAAGTGGAGAATCCATGTTTGTCCAACTGAGAAAGCAGGCTGTCGTCACTGCTGTGAGCTTACTCCAGGCTCAGATCCAGTTTTCACAGTGAAGGCAACTACAAGCACCAGAGGACCCATCATCCTGAAATTTCACTCGGAGTTCCCCAAAGGTAATGCTATCCACAGACCCCTAGCCCCGGGTCACCTCTGGAGGGGTAAGATTTATGGTGCTTGGCTTGGAGTTGAGTTTACAGAAATAGCAACACCTTAGGGATCAAATAACATGTGTACATTATGTGATTATTTCAGGAGTGACTGTTCCTTGGGAACTAAGGCAGCCGTCTCTGTGGTCTGGTGAGTGGCAGGCATGTGGGCCAGGTAGTATTTCACCTCCTCTCTAGGGAACGAGCCTTGGAGGCCTCAGCTGGAAATGGGCATGTGAATCACAGTTTCATGAGGTATTGGTGACACACCACTTCCCTGCCAAGAGGGAAAATGAAACACCGAGAAACAACAAAAGTCCACATTCCATTTCAAAGACAAAGAAACTCGATGGCTGACCTCAGCCAATACCTGCAGAAGTATTGCTTTCCCCAGGACAACAAGAACATATGTAAGACCCATTAACTTGCAAATCAATCTATACATACCCAAACTTGCCAACAACACTCTTAACTGCAATGATTGCAAAGCAAGATAGTAAGGGCCATTTAAATATTCAGTTAATTTGGTTTTTAAAATTAACAAATTAAAAGCTTTTTTAAAAATTGAAAGTACTTTCAAAACATTATGTGTGTGCATGTGTGTGCTTGTGCATTAATGCATACTTATGTGCATGCAAGTGTCTGTGGAGCCTCTGTGAGCTGGAATTACATGTGGTCGTGAAGTGGCTACCCAGTGAGAGAGTTGGGCACTCAACTCAGGTCCTCTGTAAGAGCAATATGCATTCTTTCTGAGCCGTCTCTCCAGCTTCCCCTCCCTCCTTATGTAGCCTAGGCTGGCCTTGATCCT